ACAAAGGAGCTGGTTTTTCAGAAAATCTGCTTTGCACAAAACACTGAATGGAACTCCCTAAACTTTAAGAGTGCTAATAACTGAAGGGTTGTTTTCCTGCCATGAATGCTGCTTTAATCTTCAGCTCTCCAACTGGCTGATTCAATTCAAACATGTGTGTACCTAGGAATGCCTTGGCGCAGAAGGCGATAGGCTTAGAGTAAGACATTAGCATACATCCTTCTCGCTTATCTGCAAGTGAACAGGGACTGCACATGGTATGGTTACCATGGAAAGCTCATCCCGTCTCTTTGTGTTCATCCTTTACATATCAAGCCTCCATAATACATCTCCTAAATATGTGGGATTCTTTCAGAATCAAAGTATTAAGTGCATATTTAAAAACTGCAGTGATGCTAGATTTTTTGGTAACTAAGGTAAGAGGATTCGAAACAAGAAAGAGCTTACATCTAGCAAGCTTTCCTCTCAACCAGAGGATTATTTAAAACGTTGAACAAAGATTAAATCTTGAAATATTTTTATTTAGAATCGTACTAATAATTCAAAATCCATATTAGAGCAATACCTGAATTATGTTAATTTGCATTAAAAAGAGCCTTCCCTTCCCTTCTCTGATTTTTCTTTTTCAGCCACTTTGTTTTGGATTTTTTATTCTTGTTTATTTCACATATTAGGGAAATACCTTTGAAATTAGAATCCATTTGAGGTAGCCTTCTGGACCAGAAGCTGAGGTATATAAGGGAGACCTTGCATAGAAACAATGGTTTAAACAAGTAGGAATACCCAGAAACTATTTTCCCTAGCATTAATAGCTTGCGTAGTAGCAAAGTGCAAACATACCTTATTTTTTAAAAAAATTAATATTACATAAAACCCATCATTTTTTAAAAAGAAAAATAAGGCATGGAAAATTTCATTTTTGTATTGCTACATACAATAGCTTTTATAGCTACTCAACTGATAATTTAAAGACTATAAATATGTTCACTTTTCTTGAGCCTTTAGGGAGAATTACATGGGATAATGAAAAAACACCTAATTATTCATGCTGTCCTGAATAGCTTTTAAAATGACAGACTGGTATCAAAATATTTATGTTGGCATTATAGTGTTTCTACATTAGCAGAGTCAGCAACTGAGACTGGAACATTCTTAACATAAAAAGGGAAGAAACAAGGCAAATGCAAGGCTGGACTACTCAAGAGAAGAACTTCTCCTTTAGTTTATATCTTTCTTCTTTGGGGTTCAAAACAATGACAAGAAAAAACATTGAGAAAGGAAGAAAATCTTGTTTGTTGCCAAACTAACTGAAGCTATGTGTCAAAATCAGGTGTAATCAGAAGTCTTTAAGTACAGATATGTGTGAATTGGTATATCTATGTTCCACCCTGCCCCCAAATACACATACACACAACCGAAGACAAACACACTGGGAAAACTCTTTGCATGAAGAGAATTTATTTACATTTTTATCTTCAATTCACTTCTTTTTGCCTCAACGCCCAAATTTTCTCCCATTCTAGTGAAAACCCAGAATTGCTTATTGATATTTAGATGAATGGGTTTCTTTTGAGCCATGCTGGAGAAAGTCACACATAAATTTTATATCCTAAACTAGAAAACCTAGAACTATGCCCCCTTTGGTCCGATCTAAGTATAGTATATAAAATCATACATTGCAATGTCCTACCTGTCAATGAATACTTCAGCTTCAACCATAACAATACAAGAGCACACAATAGATACAAACTCAAGGTTAACCACACCAAACTTGATTGTAGGAAATATGACTTCAGCAACAGAGTGGTCAGTGTCTGGAATACTCTACCTGACTCTGTGGTTTCTTCCCCAAACCCCAAAAACTTTAACCTTAGAATGTCTACTATTGACTTTACTCCTTTCCTAAGAGGTCTGTAGGGGGCGTGCATAAGCACACCAATGTGCCTACCGTCCCTATCCTATTGTTTCCTTTTGTTTTCTTATATGTATCCATTTCATGTATTCATAACTATGTTTATACTTACACCTATTATCTTGTAAATGATTGACAAATCAAATAAATAAATAAAACTAAATAAACTCAACACCTAAGTTAGAAACACATACAGGATAATTTACTATACAAACGTTGCTTTGACACGCAAGTAATGTCTACTGGTGTTAGTCTTGTATTATGTCACAGTGTTACATTTTTACAAACTATTGGTATTGCAAACACTATTCCAACTGCAAATACTACCTCTCAAAAATCCAATCCTAGTAGCTCATAGATCCAGCAAAGAATTCCTAGGACAAAAGGTTAATTTCAATATTTCTTTTCTCTAGGGCAGGCCACAGAGTTTCAGGAGGATGCAAAGGAATTTAGGAAGGATTAATAGGCTACTTGCCCGCCATGATCAGAGAGGAAGAATTTAATTCAGAAGATGGAATTCCAGGGAGAATGAAATCTGAATTGTAGCTATCTATTTACAAGATCAGAAGGAGTCTGGTTACACCTTTTCCAACAAACAAATATTATTAAAGGGATAAACTATCATGAACTATAGCTAACTTGATCAAATACTTGGAGCGGCTATGCAAGCTTTTATTCTACCATTCATACAGACAATACATAAAGTATTCTTTTGTCCCTACATAAAATCCATGCTTTGCTGCTTTATAATATCTGCTCAGTTCTACTATATCCAAATCAGCTTATTTCAAGAACTGTTTCTTTTGGTTAGGTTTTTTTTTCTGTTGAGGTTTCTGTTCAATGTTTCTGTTTTCTTATTTTGTACTGAAATGTAGAATACAAAAGTCAGATATATGTTTTAAGTAGAAATCATTTTTAGGAACAACAGTAGCCTCTTATTCTACTGCTATAAACCTATCTGCATGTGCCAATCAGATCTTCTATGTTTAATAAATGGAGAATGATATTTATTTATTAAGCAAAGGCACTAAAAGGGTCTTAGCAAACACTACAGTAAAAATGGATTGGGGGGGATTTAATCAAAAGCAAATACTTGCACAGCAAAGAACAAACAATCTCTCTCTGTTGACCTTCCTTCCATTATGCCTACCAACATGTCACTTAAAGTCTTAGGGGACTTCAACAAAAGACAGTGAAACAATGTCATGGTACACAAAATTGTTTAATGTTGAGCCAGTTTAAAAAATGAGCCCAAGCCAAAAAGGATTGCTATATGTATAAAAACAAAAACTCAAGCAAGTTTTAAACAATACTAGAGAATGAAAAAGCAATATATCAAAGCAAGAGGATAAAGCATTAAATATAACAAATGTTTCCAGGAAATTCCTAATATAACATTTAAAATAGGAATTAAAGCCAAAACCTTGTCCGTATTTCTCCAGAAGGAAGCAGCAAAAATCTGACACCAAAGGATTTCTTTATTGATATTCTGTGAATGCAACCTAACTTGAAATTAAACATTCCTAGATCATCACATGTTGCAACAATTTCACCATTATGCCATTCATGAGCTACTTGAAATGAAGCCAAGTGAAGAAGTCCCTTTCTGGGTTTCAACCTTGGGTATATATAGTGACGATCTGTCCGGATCACAGTTAAAACTGATCTTGATTGGTAGATTTTCCTGCCTATTTATGGTTCCCACCTAGGCCAGAAACCAATCATCAGACGCTTTCTTTTCCATGGGCAGGTTTCAGGATATGTACTTCCAGCTGGTACTTTGAGGATATGTATGCTACACAAAACCAGCACTGGCATTCCAATCACGATTGTGTCAAAAAGAAATCCATTCATTGATATATGGAATACAGGCACTCCTTGATTTACAGACACAATGGAATTTCAGTTGCTAAGTGATATGTTCACACCACTGGATTCAATTTCACAACCATGGTCATTAAGTGAATCACCACAGTGGTTTGGTGCATCATGTAGTCATTTAAGTTAATCCAACTTCCTCAATTGACCTTCCTTATCAGAAACTAGCTCGGAAGATCACAAACTGCAATCACGTGGCCACAGGACACTATAATCAGTTGTAAATACGAGCCAGTTGTCATGTGGCCAAATTGTGATCATGTGACCATAGGGGTGGTACAATAATCAAAACTTTGAGAACACGTTATAACTCACTTTTTTCAGGGCTGCCGTAAATTTGAACCATTGTTAAACAAACAGCTGTAAGTTGCTGACTACCTGACTACCTATAGTTGAAAATACATAATACTAAACAACCCTGTGACCTGTTAGGTCATCCTCGGAGAGGAAAGTAGTATAGTCCAATATGATCAGAATAAACATTAAATTTTAGGCTGAACATCAATTTTCACCTCACTGGTGGATGATCCTAGGATCATCTAAGAAGATGTTATCTTATACGCTATACATAGAAAAATAATTATAGTGGCAGATGAACTTTAATAAGTTAATGCTTAATTGCCTAAAAAAAAGATAACCAGAAAGAAAGAGGACAAAAAAAAGCAGTGGAAGTGACTTCCGACTTCCTGCTGGCTTCCCCATTGACTTTGCCTGTGGGAAGCTGGCAAGGAGCATTAGAAGTCGCAATCATATGACCATGGGAACAATGAAACAGTCACAGCTTTATGAATAAAAGTAGTCTGAACATCTTGGAAATTTGATTTCACAAAAGTAATGGGAGCCGGATTTTTTTTACGCATCCTTAAGTTAGCAGATTTTTCAAAAACTGTTGCAGTACAAAGCACAATTTGGCCGAACTTGAGTGTAGAAACAGAGAAATGGGTAAACACAATGAGAGTTTTAGTAGTATATAAATATATATAATTTTCCAGATTTGAAAAAAATACACAGATAAAAAAGAGAATTTCTTGTTTAAACCTATCTTAAAGGTGGGTTTTTTTTTAGTAAATTCTGCTGCATTTAACACACTATCATTTATATAGTCTACTGCAATCAATCAAGTGATAGTATATCACACTAGTAGACATTTTGAAAAGTATAATAACTTGTATGTTTGGAATACAAAGTTAAACAGACAAATAAAGCCTACCTTGAAAGGACTGTTTGCCTCTGTTTACCAGTTCTTCAATAGGATAACTTGCTAATTCTCCACGGGCATGCTTAGTTTTGCAATAAGTACATGCATTCAGACACCTGGAGAAAAAGCATATATATTATTTCATTTTAAAAGAATACATCCACACAAATCCAGATTTTGAAACCCGTTGCTCTGGTCTTCAAGATGTATTTATAGGCAGCTATTGTAGTTATACACAACAGCACATTACTGACAAGTTGATCCTTTCAAAATCAAGTTTAATCAAGGCATATATTGCCTCTCAAAAACGATTTTCTTAATAATTGTGCAAACTTTGGTCATCTTTGTGCTACTCAATCATTTGCTTGCATGGTGGATAATTTAAAATTAGTACAGAGCTGCAAAAATCAGAGCAATCACTGAATGGCAGTAGAAGTTAACATTTTTTTCTTTGTAAGTCTAGTCGCCATCTGGATTTTCGCCTCCCAGATCAGATGAACCCAGACAGAGTAAAAATATAATAATAATAGTAAAGCTAAGATAAATATTTTATATATTTCTTTAAACAGTTTATTACATGGGATATTAACTCATAATTAGTCAATGTTAAATATGTATGGTCAGCTGCCTAAGAATCTTAAGTACTGAATGAGGCAGAACAAGTAGTAGATGCTAAAAATGCAGTTTTGACATACTGTGTAGACAAAAATTAAGTTTCCTCAATTTAAATCAACTTCCAATGCCCACTTAATTCTTACCAACGAGCACCAGTCCTATCGCTTTAAAAAATAGGCTTAGAAATTTCAAGTGTCAAAATGTTTATGTGTTACATGCTTTAATAAAATTAGAAAATAGTGGAGATGGATCGCTGAAGTCTAACAGGAGCATAGGTCTTATAAGGAGGAAATGAGCAAATAAGAGACAGTGAAACTGCAAGGGATGCATTGTTCCTCGCTGCTTAAAGATGAGTTGTTTTTGAGCAGTTTATTTCCAGCCCAGTTTCATTATCATTATTAATTATCAAAGTTGACTGGCATAATGGGGATATGATAATGCAAAACAGAAACATTTACTTTCACAGTTCTGATTTATGTTTACCTGGTCTGCTTCCTTCTGTATTTTGAAAGCATTATGCATACAGGATTGGCTCAAGCAGAGGTGGGCAACAAAAGCAACTTTACTACAGCAACTTCAACCAGCATGCTCAGGAATTCTGGGAGCTGAAGTCCACAATCATAAAGTTGCCCATAGTTGTCCATAGCTGGGCTCAACTTTTGTTGTCTCAATCAGCTGCTGACATAGCAGTTGACTATTGTCAAAACCGTGAATAAAATGCTTTCAATTCTCCCTCCTTGTGTTTGTAATGTTAAAAGAAGTAGGGAAAAGCCCTCCAGACCCCTTTCTTTTAGAAGCCAAGGTACAAATGGGCTTTCCTGCTGGAAGTTATAGTGATAACAGAAGCTATATACTGTATAAAGTCTGGCAACTCTATCCTAAAAGGAAATAACAGAAAAAATAGAATAACAGAGATCTTCTAGTCCAATCCTTTGCACAAGCAGGAAACCTTATACTATTTCAGACAAATGGTTGTCCAATCTCTTCTGAAAAACCTCCAGTGTTTTACCCACAACTCCTGGAGGTAAGTTGTTCTACTGATTAATTGTTCTGTCAGGAAATTTCTCCTTAATTGTAGGTTGAGTCTCTCCTTGATTAGTTTCCGTCCACTGCTTCTTGTTCTGCCTTCAGCTGCTTTGTAGATTATCATCATAGTAATTCAAATGCATCATAGTAATTCAAATAATCATCAATGTAGTTCAAATGCAAACTTTATGGTTAGGAAGACAAATAAAAACAGTGGCTGAAGCCAGGAAGAGTACACAAGGGATAAGAAGAAGGAAGAGAAAGCATGAAAATGTAAAATGAAGAAGTTATGAGAATCTAAATTCCAAATTCCATCTTTGGAAAAGGATTTCCTCTCCCTGTGACAGAAATATCATTTCAGTCAAAGCTATCAAGAATATAGCAACTGTAAGAAGCTCACTTCAACTTTCTTAGCCACAAACTATTCTGCTCTAGGAAGACGTATCTACCTCAAAGGCTTACATATGTCATGTTGCATTATAAGACTTCCTGCCTTCTGTTGTGTTTCCTGCCTTTTAATTTTATGCAGGGAAGCTAGTTAACATGCAGTTTGGAAACAGAAAATACTAATACAAATTATGTCACTGGTGTGGTCTCCTTCATGCACTGTTATGAGGTCTGATTCTAAATCAAGCAAACCAAATTCTCTAGGCCTAGAAATTTAATACTGCAATGTGATTGAGAAAGTATTCCGGACTTCTGATCGAGCTCTTAGTCACTGTGGAAGATAGGTGGACACAGTAATCTTATCAGTGGCTTTGTCTAGGCTTGATGACCTCTTTTAATGATGATATTTGGTCATCCCTGTTCATTACCATAAAAACTTGTAACATTCATTTACCTAATTATGACATTCCATAACTCACTTTAAATAACTAAACAAACAAAATACTTACTATTTTAAGTTTCTAAAGTTCACAGATTTCATAATGTTGAAAATGCTTAAATCATTAAGGCCAACTTACTCATTATATTAAAAATTTAGAAAAATGTAAACCATAGCACTGAGTATTATACTGATAAACTTGGATTGGTTGAAACCATGATATTCTTACAAGAGTTCACAGCAATTATGTAAAACTCCTGAAAACTCCTGGTTTCACTGCAGTTATGTAAAACTCCTGAAAACAGCTAATATACTATGAACACCAAGTTTTTAAGATTGGGATAAAAATCATGTATTTTAATGCACAAATCTTACAATGACTATTCTGCTCAGGGCTTAATATAATTCTTAATATGATTACTGAGAAATGTATTTCCCAATAATTAGTTAAGCATATTATATTTATTACAAATATAATAACTATACAAAAAGCCACTTTTGTAAAATGTTTAACACTTCAGTTATTGCATTAATTATTAATTGGATTGATTATTAATGTTTAAAATATTAAATGTGATAAAAGTTATGTGCCAATTTGGTCTAGCGGTTAAGGTACCAGGCTAGAAATCAGAGGATTGAGAATTCTAGTCCCTCCTTAGGCACAAAGCCAGCTAGGTGGCTCCAGGCCAATCACTCTTGGTGAGCCCACAATGTCAGGCTTAGGTGACAAGCCAGTCTGCCAATTCCTGTCATAACCAATTGATCAACACTTGATTGATAGGAAAAAAAATGGATCTTGATTGCAGGAAACTACTAAGAAGAAGAAAAATATTACAAAAAAACACTCCATTTTATTATCAGGCATTTTGGTTCAGTGTCCATAACAGAATAATATTCAAAAATGTAGCATTCTTTTCATGATTGACATTCTGATATCAATACCAGTCAATTGTAAAGTCTAAATCTTATGAAATTTTCTGCAACATTTTAACATAACAATGCCATCAAGTGCTCAGTATAAATAGTTATTTGGCAACTGAAGCTATAAAAGATATGTGAATAAGCATGTATTTAAAACTGGCATGTATGAATATATGATACTCAAATCCAATTTTTTTAGATTTATGGAGCAAAAAACTTTTGAAGAGATTGAGAAGAAATCCAGCTGCAGTTAGAAAGTACTTTTAACATTTTGTTTCATTGCCATGAAAATTGGTAATGGAGCCAAATAATAACAAATAATTATTTTGTAAAATAATTTGCATCCATTCATCCATTTCATATCAAACTGGGGGTTCCATTATACTAAACATCTGTAGAAATAGGCAGAACAGTAATCTCTTCTACTTCTTTCTATCTCTAATTTGTGTGTCTTTCAGGGGGAAAAAAAGTAGGCCTTCTTGGCAACATTTGTCAACCAAATGCACATATTAAACTTACAAGGATGCTGAACTGAAAATAATTACAAAAGGATTTCATGTCCAGACTGATGCAGCAAGAACATATTAAACAGTGAGGTTCTTCTGGAGTGACAATTTCTGCTAGTGATTAAAAAAAAATCTATTCTTGGCATTTGTGTTTATAATTTTAAGGCTTACAAATTCCTCCTATTTTTTTAATTGTGAGGGAAAACAATTGCCTGGAGTGGCCTTGATCCCATTATACTACTGTTAACAGCTACTTCCCTGCCTGGTCCTCTTTACTGTTCCATGTTTTTTCAAACAAAAATTCATTTGAATTTTAGAGGGGAGGGGGGGAGGGGAGAGGAGAGGAGGCATGGACTGGCTGAATCCACCCAGTGAATATACTTTCACATATAGGTTGCCTCATCCCCTTTGTGGTATTCCCTTGGGAGAGAAAACCTCTCTATTTCACTTGGCTTTCAGCCTGCTAGTTAGCAAACTGGGAGTCAGTCTGCTGTATCACTGATTGACATTGTCTTTTTGTTTTCAACATTATTTATTTACATTATATATTATTATTTGCATTATGCAATATTTTAGAGTTATCTATTCAAATGATGACATCTTAAAAGGTATCATTAACCGTGCCATGTGAGAGGCTGAACGCAGGACAGATCCTAGGATAGTCCAATTGGTTCTCAACCTACACACAGCCCCTTTACATTGTAAGAAGCCAAGGACGGTCAGAAACATTGGCAGACTATAAGACCTAGTCCTAAACAAAGTACAATGCTTCAAAGTTCTACTTAATGAAAAACTCATTGGCAATTTAGCAATAGCACTTAGACTTATACCGCTTTGCAGTGCTTTACAGCCTTTCTAAGTGGTTTACAGAGTGGTCCTCATTTTACTGACCATGGAAGGATGGAAGGCTGAGTCAGCCTCGTGAGACCCGAACTGCCAAACTTCTGGCAGGCAGTGATCAGTAGAAGTAGCCTGTAGTACTGCATTCTAACTGCTGTGCCACCGCAGCTCTTTACCACTTGTAGGAACCTGTTCTGAAAAGTGGATGCAGTTTAAAAGTGTCACCACACAGATTGTGCTTGGCACAAAAGGATTATTTGATAAAAATCACAAAATATTTTCAGGAGCCCTCCAGGCCCAGGTCTACGCAGACTGGTAGATCGATCCATCACCTCTCTCAAAGAAAGACAGGTTTAAGCACTTACAATCTAGAATACAGGCA